TACAAAAACGTAAATATCTCTAGAACGAAAAAAGATATTCCAAAAAGGGAAACGCCATTCTTCTTTACTTTGAAAAGCCTGTCAAATAAGCAGCAATTACTTTTTACTTCATAGGCACTTTAAGTTTATTCTGCTAGTGATTCCTGAAAAAATAAGCATTTAGTACTATTCCTTTGTAACCAGGTCTCTATCCATTGGTATAAATTTAAATTTATTAATTGGTAATCAGAGATTAAAAGAGCACAACAAAGTTCAATGTGCAGTTGAATCCAGAAAATATCCACACCTACACTTGGTAAGGTTATTGGAAAATCCATATGGGTGGAGAGTCTCAAATGCCAGACTTTTAAAGGAAGATATGAAATTAAACTGGAATTTCCAGAGGGGTAGGCATGGGGTGTTCAAACAAAAAGAACTTCCATAGAATGGTAAGGATACTATTTTGCTAGAACAACACATTACAGATGAAGGGCATGGGAGGTAGGATGACAGATAGGAGTCTGAGGCTTTCATTAGAAACATTTCTTGTTCCACAGAGAGTTACATGTATTTTGCAAAGCTTCAGCTTTGCCTCGGGTAACATTGAGGGTCAAGGGGAAACAAGCCTCACTGTGCTTTGTTAAACCTCACAACTCAAAAATAGAACAAACTGTGAAAAAACTGTTTGCTTGGTGGCCAACAAATTTACCACTGTTTCAAGGTACATGACCTGATCAGGTACAAGTCAAAAGCTTAGACAATTTGTTGTTTCCATGGGGGTCAGTGAAGAAGAAGATGAAAATGGTGTGTAAAACTATGCAGATCTATTACAACTATATATAGTGTCATAAGTGATTCTAATAAGATGTATCTCCAATACTTTCTTACAAATGTCCAAGTTGGGGTTTGATAGTGTGTTTGTAGTAATGTAAACAACCAAAAACCTACCTGGTCTTGGATTCCGAGCATTACAAGCCATGTCATCAGCCAGCATAACAATAATGTGACTGTCAGAAGGTAGTAACAAGAAAAGAATACAGTTACAGAGGAGTTACTTTTGAGGTTCTTTTGGGCTTGCACAGGGTGTTCCTCCAGGACTATGGTCTAGAAGCAACTGGGTGCCACAGGCAACTAAGCTTTGCCTTTGGGTGACTGGAAAAATGTACTTTTGTTATAAAAGCTAAGTACTGGGCACTCAGGATTTCATGGTTGGGAACCTTTGGGCTCCTTGTAATTTTTCTTAGACTACAACCTTGGCCTCTGACAGTTCTAGCACCCCTTATTCTTGTTTCAAAACCAAAGTACACAATTTTCCATTCCTTTTTCAAACCCTTTTGTACATGTGACATCTAGGTCTTATATACCCAAATTTCTGTCCTGCTCTCCAAAAACATCTACCTATCATTTTCCAGAGGAGCGGATTTTGATTATCTTTCCAGTTACTCCCCTTTTTGCATTTTTCTCTTTTTAACTGTAAAGATTCTGTCTACTAGCTTCTGTAAGTTCCTAAAATTTTAAACCAGAAAAGCCAAGTAATTCCCTAATAATTTGAATTTGAACAAAATGGCCATTTCTGTGGTTTAATTACCTAAAAAGTAATTTTAATCACCCTTACTATCTTTTTCTAACATTTCTCCTTGAGTTTCTCATTCCCTTCCTTTTGGTTTTCTTTATAATAGGTCCTTTGCAGCTGGGCCATCACACAACCCACTTTTCATAAAATTATGTACTATAACTTAAAGAATGCCAGAAATGTTCAGAAATGGAAAAAGCATGCTGAAAATATCAAAATGGCCAAGTTTGAGGCCCCCCGGCATTAAAGAATGAGGTTTTATGACGGTTTGAATTTTAAAAGAATTAAGAAGATTTGTATGGAAAAAACTGTTGGAGAGCTAGACTAACATTTGCCATAGAATATCCTCTAATTTTCCGAAAATTCAAACTGTTGTATAAACTTACTGTCAGGGGTCTCATACTTAGTCATTTTGCTATTTTCGATGTGCTCTTTCCATTTCTGGAATTCTTCAAGTTATAGCCCATATTATAACATAAAAAAGTTTTTAGCAAAATATTTTGTCACGTGACCCCAGCAACAAAGGGCCTTCAATAGACCCTTTGTAGCTGGGGTCACGTGCTATTCTTACTAGCACAGTGCCAATTTGGCACTGTGCTAGTAAGAATATGGTAAACTTATTTTAAGGTACATTGTGGGTAACTACAAAATTTCGTACCTGTCAGGGATTCCCAGTCTCTTGACACTTCTATAGATGGAAAGAACGTTAGCTACATGCCGATAGTTGAACCAAAACCGGGAGGTGCACACCTGAAAATAAATTAAAGTAACTTTTAAGTCATGTAAGCACCTTTTCATCTCATCCTACAAAGTAGTCTTCTGATGCATTCTCACCAGCACAGCCCAGTTATTGGTGTGATCACTCTTGAGGAAATTATCGAAAGATTTGCCTTCTTTTGCGGGAACCAACTGAGAAAATAAAGTTACAACCAGAGGCAAGAGCAGCAATCTTGCCGCCATCTTGGCTTAGAGAACTCTGCACGGCATTCTGGGTACGACGACGACGACGCAAGCCGAAGTCTAAGCCGAAGTTCTTAAAATGGTTCGTTACATATTTCCAATGTGCTTCCCTAAGTAACTTCTATTATGTTAGCTATTTTGCATCACAAAAAAAGAGTCGGAGTCACCCAACTATCCGAATCCAAGTTGCAGATGGAAATTTTCCCTGTAAAATTTCGTCTGCGAGCACTATGGCGAAGTTTTCCGATTAATGACGACTAGTAATTAACATGTTGTCATGACAACGATGGAATCCCTGTCCGTGGAATCATTAGAACCTTCGATCGAAAGTGTGGTTGTATTGGGTTGCATTTGTCTTACCGTACATGTAAACATCAGGATAAAAGAAGGATCATGACGGCGGAAGAAAGTAAAGAGTACATGGCGAAGACAGAGGTTCATCAGCTTTTTGAGGTACGTGGACAGAAGTGAAAAGGCGGGAACGCGCGCGTGAATATTTTTTAGCTTTTCTACACCGTCGAGAATCGTAGGAACTATGTATGCGACGAGCAAGGGTTTGTTATCATTTCGCTTTGTATAAATTTATTTTACAAACATTGCTGTTCATTCTGTTTAACATTTCCCTTCTTTGCCTTGTTTCTTACCTACGTTTCTGAAATTATAAGGTGTACAAATCACGCAGTCTGCCACTCATTCGTTCAAGATGTCCAAAAGAGTTTTTATTTGCGAAGACCATTGAGAGTTTATCTGTAGATGATCAATTTCGTAGTTTTGTAGAGTGAAAATACGATCGTGTTACCAGTAAGCTTATAGTTAAAAGTATATCATGGAAAAATCGGAGATAAAGTCCTTTCATAACGTAATTTACAATATTGATACAGCAGCGCATTGAATTGATCGTAACTTTCCCGGGGCGAAATTATTATAACCGGACATGTTGCAGACTAATTGAGCGACAGATCTTTGTTTCTCTCGTTTTATAAATAAAATTTTACTATTGTAATTAGTCATATAATTTCTTCGAGTGGTTCTTTTTGTAGTGCCGCTTGTGAAATGTATGTATGTTTTAAAAAGTAAAAAGTGTGTTTAAAGGATAAGTAGAATTTTATATGGCAGGTGCAGTGACTGACTGACACAACATTAAATCTATTGTTTTGACACGATACGCTTAAAATTTTTTCAACAAATGCACAAACAAAAAAAGCTAACATACAAACAAACAAACAAATCAAAGTGGATTTAACATGTGAACAGTGTATTTTTTAATCTCAAAATTGATAAAAAAAAATACATAAATACTGTATGCAGCTGCAAGCAAATCACAGACATACAGCGGAGAGAGTAGCTTTTAAATTTTTTTTCAATATTTTTATGATCAAAATTTTGTCAAGTTGAGTGTACATGTAGGGAAAGCACGCTAATGACATTGAACTGAATAAATTATAATTTCAGGGGATGCTGACTGGCCTACTGTATCACAAGCCAGAGGATCATTTGGCTTTTCTGGAAAACTGTATCTGTCTTGCAAAAACAGAAAAGGGTATTAAATGGAACTCATTCCTTGATCTCAGCAAGAAGCCTCTACCACCCATCCCAAAAACAGATGGACCAATCAAGTCAGAGGCTGGGGATGAAATCCGCACTTTTACTACTGAGCCAGAAATGAAGCAGAAACCCCCTCTTCCTCCAATCAGTAGTTCTGGTGCACGTCCATCCATTGATGACGATGACAAGGAGTTGACAGAAAGAAATATTTTGACATCTGAGTCAGAAGAGGAGGTTGAGGTTGAATTTTCTGGACAGAGGATTGTGTATGTCCTTGGTAAGTGATCAAATCACTTGAAAGCACATTCTAGTCTTAGCTGCGAGATTAAAATTTAAGTACAGTGGGACCCCGCCTTACGACCACCCCGTTAATATGACCACCTCGTTATTACGGCCACGTTATTCTGGCCCCCCAAAAAGCTCAGTCAGTCATTTTCTTATGTTAATGCAACCAATTTTCCATGGCCCGAAGGTGGTTGTATTAACGGGGTTCCACTGTATAACTCTAGACATTTAGGGAATATTCCCCAACCCCCTTGACTTATATGCCAACCTGACCTTACCAGTACTATAAAAGCCCTGATTGGCAAATGAAACCTTGTCATGCTGGTTCTACATGTAACTTATGATAAGAGTATGCTAAGCAGAATTAATTTACACAGTTCTATAGTTTACACCAGCTAGGAAAAGGATTTCTGTATTAACTGTTGCATGTTCAAGGGTAAGTTATCCATACCCCTTCCACAAGAGGGGTTTTGATTGAATGGTGCACTCATCACTGGAAATTTCAGTTTAGCTTTTAAGTCCCAACATTGAATAATTATTGGCTAATGACTTTCCAATAATGTTCTTAGGGTTGGTATAAATATTTCCTGTGACTGGACATGCAATAAGATGATTCACCCGCTCTCAGTGGTCAGACTTGTTAAACAGATAAGGCTTTGTTGGATAGGTTAATATTGGCTGAATGTTTGTACTGGTATTTTAGCAGAATTATGATTATTCCTCCTTGAAAGTTTATCTTTCTGTGACTACAGGGGGACCTGGATCAGGCAAAGGAACACAATGTACTAGAATCGTTGAGGAATTTGGCTACATTCACTTATCAGCTGGAGACCTGTTAAGACAAGAAGTGGCTAAGGGAAATGAGCGAGGGCAAATGATTGAAGATATCATGAAGGAGGGCAAACTTGTGCCTCAGGTAAGAATGAAACACGCTGTGCAGTGAGTTCTTTGTTTAATAGCCATTTCTTAAGTTTGAACTAACTTTAAAAAGCAATGTCTAGTCTAAATAATTATCTGTGCACTTAATTTCTGCTTACTATTACTTACTTAATATCCTCTTTGGGCCCATTGAGGACTCCTTAGGCCAGACTTAACATCTACAAACATTGCATTTTGACTTAAATACATGTATGTGTACATTCTTTCTTCAAGCATTTAATAAAACTCAGTCTTTTCTTTGACCCAATGTGAGAAAGAATTGGGCCTACAGTCAAGGCAAAATTCTTTTGTTTTGGTGTAATGTTCAATATTGAATGACAGTGTGCTCACCGCAACTTGCAACTGCTGTTTCATTCCAATTTACTCCTGACCGGTTATTTGTCAGAAGTTTGTGGCAGTTTTGACAAGTTCCTGTTTTCATTTTTCCTAATATAAAATGAAATAGTGTCTCTTCATTGTTAAAGTATGTAGGAGAAAATAATTATCATATGGTGCACCATTTGTCTAAAGGCTGCAGGAAATTAGCCACTGATTAAGCTAGCTGAAGTACAGTACTGCCCAAAATCAAGTTACCACTGTCTCTGCACTTTATATATTTATGTCTTTACCTTTTCAGGAAATTACCATTGAGCTGTTAAGAGATGCTATGAGACAACACAAGGATTGTCCAGGATTTCTTATTGATGGCTTTCCCAGAGAAATTCAGCAAGGATTGCAGTTTGAACAAGAGGTCAGTGCATCTATGTTTAATACACTGCTACTGCTAGTCATCTACTTAAGTATGCACGGTTCAAAACTTTTTTATGGGGTTTCCAAGGTATGAGTGAATTCAAGGTTGCTCTCTTGTGGAGACTTTCTGGTTAAATCTCCACCTTTGGAAACCAGTATAGAGGACACTGAGCCCCAGTCCCATGTGTAACGTTTAGTAAAGAGATAACTGTGTAAAGGGAAACACACAAATTTTGTAGTCTAGTAGGGTTGTCAACAGAAGCTAGTTGCTGGCAAAAATTGCTGTTTACATCATGATCTCTGCTGGCCACCCTGCTGAGCTCTTTGTCTCATTCTTGAGAAAAGAAGATGGCAAAATCAGTCACCTGCTCCGGCCACAACAAAGCCTTGTACTTTTGGCAAAACTTTGTGTCAACCATGTTCCAGGGGCCTACCTCATCCAAACACTAGATTGTAACCTCCAGCAAAGTGACACCTGCAGCAACATTTGTCAGGTCGTGGTCACACATGAAAAAATTGCTTTGTAACATCTAGTTCTAGGACAGCCTGTCTAGAAGCATAGTGAACTGTGATTTCACCACAAACGTGCATCAGAACAGTGCACTGCTTGTTTTGTCTCTTCCAGTAAGGAAAGACAGCCATGCTTGGATACTAGATTTCTATCCTTAGTAGGGCGACATCCCCCATTGTCCTGGCTATACGGCAGGGGTTTCATTAACGTTTTCAGCAAGTGGGCAACTGGTTTACCCAGGCAGGCAAAACCTTTTGAACTGAGCTAATCTCTATAAGAAAAATGTTTCTATAGATAGTCAAATCATGTGGACAAAATCGTCCTCACAACCGGTCAATTTGCCGGTGCATGGCTCTTAATGAAACACTCGTTAAATAACAAGTGGCCAGACATACATATTATGTGACTTTTAGAAGAGTAGAAATGGATCCGGCTTAGTAGCCTGAATAATTATATCACATGTAAGTGATACCAGATACATAAATAAGGTAGTTTTATTTATTTATTTATTTATTTTTGTTTCAACAGGTTGTAGAAAGCGATTTCCTGCTTTTCTTTGAGTGCAGTGAAGAGATCATGCAAGAGAGGTTACTGAAGCGCAGTGAGACAAGCGGGCGCCCTGATGACAACGTTGAAACAATCCAAAAACGTTTTGCAACGTTCGTAGAAAAGACATTGCCTGTTGTTGGTCATTACGAGGAACTAAACAAACTTAACAGAGTAAGTGTCTCTTCTGTTTCCACCGGTCATATTATATAGAGGTCAGCTGGTCTTAACGTTCTTTGCGTTCGTCAAGAACGACCTCTAGAAAAAACGGGACAACACTCTACGTGCAGTGTATTAATTTTAACGCAAGGATTACATCGTTTTGTGGTCGATGTAGCTGCACAGCATGTTACGCTAGAGCTAACTGTCTAGGAGACCTGAATTAAAAAAATGAATGTTTTGTGATTAGTTATTCAACGATATCTTACCCCAGATTGATGCAAATCGTACTGTCGACGAGGTCTTCGCTGATGTGCGAACTTTGTTTGGAGCTCTTCCCCCAAAAGAAGTTAAAAAAATCAAGCGAAAGAAAAAGAAAGCCGCGGCCGATGAAGATGAATACGAGTTTGTGGAGTTCTCAGGCCAGAGGATAGTCTTTGTGTTAGGTAAGGAAACTGGACTACTGTACTTTTATACTTAGGGCACAGGTGAAAATCAAGTCATGTTTGGGTGTGTCGTTAACACGTGGTCGCACGTGTTGACTGTCTTATGGTTGTGCGAGCTTCTTTTAAAATTGTTTTTGTTTTGCTTTCAGGTGGCCCAGGTTCTGGTAAAGGAACTCAATGCAATCGTATTGTGGAGAAGTTTGGCTACACTCACCTATCAACTGGTGATTTATTGCGAGCCGAGATTGAGAGTGGCGGTGAAATGGGACAAAAACTTGCTCAAATTATGGAAGAAGGCAATCTCGTTCCTCAGGTAGGTTGTCGTGGTGATGCGGTTGTACCTGACTTCACGCGTAAGTGAGAAAACGGCCCTCAATTCTATCGTTCAGAGTATTCCCTCACAGAAATTTAGCTTGATTGCCAAACAGCCTATTTTTTGTGCGAACGTGCGAAAGCTCTGGAACGAGTATCAAAACGGCGAGTGAGACTGGGGAGAGCCTGAGACGCGAAGCTCAATATACTTTAGGCTCTTCGTCCCGAAATGCGAGAAACGACTGTGTAAAGATTTGATTTGTTTTGATTTCAGTAGAAATGTTTTGGTACTTAACTCTATAGTTCCCATAGTATGTATTTTTCTCTTTTATATCATTACATCATCAGAGAACTGGGCTTTAGGTTCTGAAAATTGAGATTCAAAACGCAACACAATTTACACTTATATTATCGTTTACTACTTCCTTCTTTCTTCTGCGATGAAAATCCCGAAGTTGTGAACCCTTGAGTACCGCGCGCTCAGTAACACGCTGACCACATTATTATCAGTCAATGTATCTATGAGGCACAACAATTAAAACTGGATTAGCGCTTTTAAAACAGGACTAGCCCGGGAAGAGCGCTCACACGCTTTGGTTCGCGCTAACATTGTGTGCTGTCTTTTTTTCTGTTGTTGTTGTAGGAGATTGTTATACAACTTCTGAAGGTTGCCATGCTGCGATTCCCAGATTCGCCTGGGTTCCTTATTGATGGATTTCCTCGTGAAATAGCGCAAGGCGTACGGTTTGAGGAAGAGGTACAGTAAGGCCTCGTTGGCCAACTTGAACAAGTTCTGATACAGGACAGGCTGAACTAAAAAATTTTTTGGTCGGCATAGATGACCACTGCGATGAAACTAAATTGCAAAATCGACGACTTTGTCGAGTTTGAACCTACTTGGCCCAACAGACCTGCATTCGATTTCAATAGAAATTTTGAGAAGGGAATTGAACAGAGATTTGTCGTGAAAACAGCACCTAAACTGCAAAATCAAATTAACTTCATGCAACTTGCACTCAAGAATGTCATCATGTGTAGATGGTGATGATATAAGCAATCCATTCTCCATATGTATCTTTAAAGTGTATACATCTCGTTCTGCGTTGCTAGCAATAAGTGGTTAAGTGACAATTATTTTGAATCACATGATTAAATCCTTCACTGGTGATCCAGCGGCGCATGACGGTCACGTGACTGTTCGCCAACATGATGAAAAACTCGCTTGTCAGTAGAAATTTTATTGAAAATTTGAGGTCTGGGCGCCGTTTGTGCAACGCATGGCGGTCACTTGATTGTTCGCCAACGCTACGAAAACTCACTTATCGCTAGAAATTGGTTTTTGAATTTGACTTTAGGAGACGGGGGGGTGGCATTTTAGCAAGGAAGACAACGTTTATCGAAGTCTTTTACAACAGAGTTATGCTTAGCCACAATCAGTCACTGGTAAGCTGAGGAACTGAGAATCTGGTTGTTGCTTTCTTCACAGATTGCAGAGTGCCACTTTATATTGTTCTTCGAGTGTAGTGAAGAAGTAATGGAAGAAAGACTCATTAAACGAGGCGAGACGAGTGGACGGGTGGACGATAACGCGGAGACCATCAAGAAGAGATTAAAAACATTTGTGGAAAAAACTATGCCAGTGCTAGAGAGTTACGGAGAGAAAAACAAAGTTAAAAGGGTATGTAGAGTGTAACTAAATTTGACTTTTATGTTGCAACGGAGCACCAGTTATCCATTAAAATCTCCTGCAAGTTCAATGAGCAACTGTGAATGTAAGTTGCTCCGCTCTCTGGCATGTCTATGGATTTATGACCCATACCCCCTCTTCCTTTCGCGCTTGTTTCGTTGGGGAATGTAAAATGAAGTGCACTCACTTGAGATAACTGACTAAGGCTATGATTTTTATACGATTCTGTAATCGGATCTTCATGTCACTTTTCCTGCAATAATTGTATGAAAAGTGAATATAAGGAAAGCGCGATGTGCTGAATGAAGTATACATGCACAAGAGGGCAGGTTTTGGCTGCAGTATGCTGAGGGTATATAACGGATTACTTGTTTCAAAAGAGAGGATTGTTAGCCTGGGATGTTGCCTAGTTACTGGCCTTCGCTATTTCAACGCGGTCAGTCCGTTTAGGGTTATGTCGTCTGTGTGAAAAAGCAAGACCTTTCCCTGGCTGTTCGCTTCGGTTACGTCATCGAAATGAATTGTCCTCGAAAGCCATACAGGAACAAGGCAAGACAGGTGTATTTATTCAAGTAAATGAGTACAAATATGTAGTGTTATTTCCGGCATAGGTTGACGCCTCACGCTCCGTGGATGAGGTTTTTGTTGACGTGTGCACCATCTTTGGAGACCTTCCCAAGCTTGAAAAGAAGAGAAGAAAGAAAGGTAAGTGTGACCCTTTTTAGACGGTCGACGAAAAAAAGTCGTTTAGCGTGATTGTTGCTTAGGAGATCCAGTCACCTATATGGTATCCCCCGTTCAGCTTTTATATCTTGACAAAGGTTAGGAGATCTTCATACAATCCGATGGCTACTTGGATATTTGTACGCTTCTCTTGGTTTAGAATTCTATAGCCTCTTCCAGGCGTTCAGTTAGTTGGGGCGCAGCGCGAAAAAAGGCTAGCGAAAACGTAGGCGAGAAGCGCTTCTCCCCTAATTTTTTCGCTCGCCTTTTTTCCCACTGCGCCCCAACTAACTGAACGCCTCTCTTGCGTTAGAATTGCATTGCCTGATATCTATAATATAGCGTGAGCTTTTTAGTGGACGAATGCACAACAGTTGCAACGCGAATTTTAATTGTTTCTTCTCTTAGCAGAGACACACTTAGTTTTTGAGCAATGACCTTGAATGTGTTTCAAGAACTGGAATTTTCCGTTTTCTTTCCTTTTTTTAATGTTTGATTTATTTCATGGTTTATTAGCGATATGTTTTCCTTCCTGGACTTATCTTACCACTGAAAAATTTTCACTTTGTTCGAATATCTTGCCTGCCAGGTAAAAAGGCTGAGAGCGGAGAAGACTCGGAATATGACGAACTTGCCGAAGGTGTTGACGACTTGTCCCGCGTGGTGGAAGGAAAACCAATAAAATTAAGACGAAGGAAGAAAAAGAAGAAGGAAGACGAAGACGAAGAGCCGAAAACTCCAATTTACGAAGAGCCGATTGTCGCCGAAGAGTTTGTTCCTCTTCAGGACGACAGTATCGCGAAAACCGATGGGAAAGGACTGTTGAATGTTAGAGTTGTATTCGTCATAGGTGAGCCGGTCTTCGATGTCTTGTTTTTTTCTTTTTAAGTAAGGCGTGTTCTTTTTTTTCTGTTGTTCATGCATGCGCTGTATAAGAACGTCATCTATAGGGGTTGCTGTGTGCATGGTGCAACATACTACTTTTTATGACTGTGTGAAGCATCTAACGAAACCTTGATTCAATTTAACCTGTATACACCCGCCCCCTTCTCTTGAAGGGGTGGATGTACACAGGCTAGATTCAATATAGGGGCGCTAATTATCCTTTGGTAGCTAAGTGAGGGCGCCTACTGGCCATGAAGCTCTTATTTTAATGAGTGACAATATCTACTGTAAGTCAATGAAAGTACGGTAACAAATCATAACACCATTGGCTTTTTCAACGTGTTCACTAAAACGTTCAGGTGAGAAAGCAGACTACATATTCAGTTTATTCTTTCAATTTCGTGAAATGAATACCACTTTCGTAATGGCCGGAGAGGCGCTCACTGAAAGGGGCGCTTAATGGAAAGGAGTGCTTACTGAAAAAACGAGACACACGAGGGAGCGTGTAATTGTTTTGCATGTTTTCTGATCAGGTGGTCCTGGATCTGGCAAGGGAACACAATGTCAGCGTATCGTGGATACGTTTAATTACACACACCTGTCGACTGGAGATTTACTGAGACAAGAAGTTCAGTCTGGTTCTCCAAGAAGCAAGGAGTTGGTGCAAATCATGGAGAAAGGAGAGCTTATTCCTACGGTTAGTAATTTCTATTTGATAAGATATTTATGGAGACGAAGCAACTACAGGGGAAAACGGTGAAGGATTTCCTTTCACATTTTTCTCTTCGCTATTCGCTAAATTTGCATCTTCTATGGAGTTAAATTACTCTTGGAAGTTACTATTTAACTTGGGAAGCAGGTTGTCGTCGTCAGCTGTGTTTGCGACACTGTTTCGATGGCGTTAGAATTGATAACTTCAATAATACACATGATATTCAGTCTTGACGTCATGTACCATGTGTAATTGTGTCACCAACAAGTATACTGCTAGGCTTGACTACCAGCCGCTTTCTCTCTCTTACTTCTCGGTGAGGAACGTATAATGGACTCGAGAGAAGGGCGGGAATCGAGCCTATAGTATTCTGCGAGCTGCCGTGTTCTTTTTTCAGGTTTCCTATGGCGCGAGAGAAATTAAAAGTGTCGAGGATAACGTTGCTCTTGCGCGTAGGGTCTGATGAGTGAGGGGATGGCTGCGTGCAGTCTAGCTGAGAGAGAGGTTTGCTAACACAAAAAAATTTCCCTTCGTACTTTTCAGAGAGTGATTTTAGAATTATTGCGTGTCGCCATGGTGGGCATTCCAAACACTAAAGGATTTATTGTCGATGGCTTTCCCAGAGAAATGGAGCAGGGAAAAGAATTTGAAAATGAAGTGAGTCTCGTACTTTTTGTTACGTCAGAAATGTTTGTAGAACTAAGCAGTCTAGACTGAGTTACTGAGTACAAGCTAAAGAATGCCCTTAGGCTTTCATGATAATTTTGTAACGAGATTGTTTCACCAAACACTCAGCCATCTACTGCCATAGTGAGTTTGGGAAGTCGGCGTTGTGAGCGTTGACCCTTGTCACAGCAAAGTGGTGGATTGTGGGTTGTATTCTGTTGAAGGACTAAGCTAACTTCCCCAACTGACTATGGCGCATAATTCACCTTTAATCGGCTTCAAGTTTATAAATGGCTAAGCTTTTCAGTAGCCCGTGCACCGACGTAGCAAAAACAATTTCTTAGAAACTACTACTTTCTTTGTTTCCCCAAACAGATCGCATGCTGTGAGTTTATGCTGTACTTTGAATGTTCTCCCGATACAATGAAACGACGGCTCCTTGCACGAGGGGAAACGAGTGAACGTGTCGATGACAACGAAGAAACGATCGCCAAACGATTAGAAACGTTCGAAAACCAGACGAAGCCTGTCATTGAATACTACGAGTCACAGAATAAAGTGAAAAAGGTATCTTAATCTTATATATGTTATCTGCCGGCCGGGAGCCGGTGCGTATTGGGAAAACTGTACCCTTTTTCCCCAATACGGACCGACCATTGCCGGCAAATAACGTATTCATTTTTTTCTTTACGATATTGCTTTGAAAGCAGCTTTTTGTGTTGAGATTAATTAAAGCCGTTCAGTTGAAATCTGGCGTGCGCGAGCGGCCTCGAGCCGTACTCAAGACCTCAGGTACAGTTTTTCCCAATACGGACCTCCTGGCCAGCAAATAACATATAAACTATATATTTGCGAATTGATTAAGTCTCTTACGTACAGTAATGCAAGCAGTGTAAGCAATCATACTAATTTTCCTGTCGCCAGAAGTGCATCAGAGATCATCTGCCCATATATCCAAATTAAAACAAAAGTAACCTACGGCGGAGTTGCGTCGAATCTATCTGAAATAATCCAACCAGGCGAAATGTCTCACTCGCCAACTTTGAATTAAGGAATTGTTAAAGGAAATCATTCTCTCTCAGCCATGGCTAAAACTGGGTCGAGTTATCCCATGAATGTTCTAAAGTAAGAGAAAAGGCGAGCTGTGAGTTACTAGAAATAGCCCATTCTGTGTATCCAGTAGATCAGTGGTCACTCACACTTCACTTCCTCCTACGCTCTGAACTGCTGGTGGAAAACCCTGTTATTCCACTTTGTTGTTGTGATTGGTTACGTTGATGATGTTTTTACTTGATTTTTCAACAGATTTTGGCCGAGGGGTCTCCCGATGAAGTTTTCGCTCAAGTTAGTAACATCTTTGAACATCTTCCTAATCGGAAATCAACGTCACTTCATGACTATGATGTCACATTTATTACAGGTATTAATTACATTACATCGCAGCCCTCTAATTATTATAATTGATATCTGCTTGTAACTTATCTTAAAGCATTTCTGAGGGGTACAAAACATTTGTTGTTGTCATTGCTGTTGACTTAAGATTGAACATAAGAATGCTGTTTATGGTGTAGGTCCACCCGGTGTAGGGAAGGCAGACTTGGGTCGAACGCTAGCAGAGGCGACTGGTAGAACTCATTTGTCGGTTGGTCACATGTTAAGAGAGGAGGCGAAAAAGGACACAGAGGAGGCTCAGATGATCAACCAATCCATTCAGATGGGAGTGTTAGTAGCTACGGTGAGCATGCGTGCTTCTTGACATATATACCACAACTGTTGCCAAAAACGAAAAACTTGCTTATCGATAAGAATCGTGGAAACGGATGTTAGAGATTGTATATGGCTAAGTTGCTCGCCGTGCGGGAAGATTAAAAAGAGATGCTCCAACGAAGCAGCCTTTAATGCATTCTTCTGCAGTTTCTTTTGTTTTAAGCTATAACAAAAAGTAGCTTAAAACATAAAAAACACAGGGATTGAGATATTTTAATAAGTGTAACAGTTCTGCCACCCCTGAATTTTAGAGTATCGTGTGCGATCTTTTAAGATATGTAACAAATTTCTTGACTTTATTTAGGACCTTGTTCTGGGATTGCTGACAAGAATGCTGGAGAAAGAAGAAAAGAATCTGAATGGATACTGTATAGATGGCTACCCGCGAACAGAGGAGCAGCTTGATCAGTTTAAACAAAAGGTAACTCACAAGTGTTACTTTATTTGGTCATTAGTTTGCCGTTGATAGACCGTATAACTCTTGACACGTTTGCCCCATGTGGCTGGTTTCTCGTGATGTTTTAGATTTTTCATGGATATTGCCTCAATCATAATTTTTTTTTGGCTACGACCCTGAGTACGTGCAAACTATGTTTTGATTTTCGACTTTGTTACAGGTGTCTGATTACAACAGAATCATCGTGATAGAGAGTAACGACGAGGAAATTGACCGAGTGTTGAAAGAAAGGTCAGAAACGTCGGAGAGAGAAGACGATACTGAAGAACTATCGAAAACTAAAGTAGATGTTTACAACGCAAACACACGATCCATGATTGACAGTCTGGCAGACTCGAACAAAATTGTAAAGGTATGTACATGATTGAGATCGGGGCGGGAGCTTAGATGTGTTTAAAGCTACTAAAAAGTTAATGGACCCGGCCTGCTGGACCCGGCGTATTTCAAGAGGCTCCACATATTTTTGTTTACACGTCGTGGCCCGAGAAAAGCCTTTGAACCCAGAACGTCCTAATTACTAGACTAGCGCTCTTAACTCCGACGACTAACCCTAAGCAGCCTACTAAGGCTTAACGAAATACTTTCATTGCCCCTTTGTGGGACACAGTGATATGGTGTGGTATCTATACATGAATGTTGAGCGCTCCATGGCCGAGAAAGCGCATGTCATGGTGATAAAGGTAAAATGTTCGTTATGTTACCAGCGCGGGGCATAGGAAAAAAAATCTGAATTCCTGACGGGATTCGAACCTATGACTTCCAGACACTGCTCAGACGCTTTATTGCCATTGTTTTTGTACCTGACTCAAGGACAACTACAAGCAGTTAGGAAAATAGAGAGCGACCTGGGTCCGAGAATTCAGGTCTCTGATATTTTTATCGAAACTAAAATCATTTTGCGAGATTAAGTATAGTTTCTCATGGGGTTCTTTTTCTCTTTTCTTAGGTTTCTGCGGCCATACCAAGAGAGGAGGTTGTGGAGGACATAAGATTGAAACTAATGGCAGTAACGGAGTTTTCCTCTTAAATCATTTCGTAGTAGCAAGTTGTGGTCATTATCATGCGATATTCACAAAAACCATACAGACAACGACGTTTATAGCAGAGTTATTCCATACCCACCTTCAGCATGATTGCCTGAACTGTAAAATAAACGTACTCCACGCCTGAATCGTGCATACCATACTATTTATCAACGCAACTTTTCAAAACAGTGCGACTCTTGTGGAACGAAGTTCGGCAAACAACAAAATATGGGACTGTCGGGCATTTTGACAGCTCGTTATTCTGGAGTCTTACCCATGGGCCTGAAAGCTTAATTTAGAAATGTTACTAAGTGAAGACTGACTTGCCGCCTCATGCTGATGTCATACCATTCATTATAATCATCATTGAAATTCAATGTTGTATATACATTTTTCGTGTCAACGTTTGGAAGGTCAGGCGAGGACCGTTCCATGCAATTCAGGGTATAACATAGAAATGGTTCAACGGTAGAAATATAATTCGTGGTCCCCGGCTTTAGCTGGATCAGAAGCTTGCAATGGAAGCAATTGCGGAAAATTTTGACCTGAAGCTGTATCTAATTGCACCCTGCTACCCCATGGGTTCTACTGCAAACTCTTGTATGGCCAGGCCAGAAAACGATGTCTTTTTTCAATTGCATGTATTTAAATCAAATGTACATAGGGTTTCAGCCAGAAGAGTACTGAAAAAAGTGCTGCGACTGAAAATATGGTGTGTTAAAATTTCAACGTAAACTCGTGTAATACACTGAAGATAAAAAAAGATGAGAGTGGTCATGAGTGACATTTTTGGTGGTTTTGTTTGTTTATTTAATTGGTTACTTATTTACGCGCCAGAGTCTCTCATCTTCCCGCCCCTTTCTCACTCCAGGGGCAGGGAAGATAAGAGACCTTGGGAACGAAGTTGCGATTCTCCCTCCGGAGTGTTGATCGTCCTTCTGGAGGGTGGATCCTCCCTCCTGAGCTATTGATGCTTCCTTCAGGAATGTTGATTTTCCCTTCGGAGTGTTGATTTCTCCTCCAGAGTGTCCATCCTCCCTCCGTAGCGTTGATCCTCCCTGGGAAGTGTCAATCCTCCCTGCAGAGTGTCAATCTTCCTTCCGTAGCGTTGATCCTCCCTGCGGAGTGTCCATCCTCCCTCCGTAGTGTTGATCCTCCCTGCGGAGTGTCAATCTTCCCTAGGTAGCGTTGATCCTCCCTGCGATTCTCCTTTCGAGAGGTCATTACTCAGTTCGTGTAGCTTCAGCCTGTTTCCATATTTGGGCCAGAACCAGTTTAAAACAAAAATACAAAAGTTCTTTATTTGAAAACGTAATGATAGGAACCGGAAGTTACTTTC